CATATTAACAAGAATAAATATTTTATTTTAAACAAAAGGTTTCATAGTATTAATACAAATCCCGGAGAAGCCACACCCGGGTGATAATAAAACTGAATTTCAAAATAGATACAACAACTACAATGGCTTTATATTCAGGAACCAATTTAACTTTTGACGAATAGAATGAATATTGTGCATTGTCTCAAATTCGAGATAATGAAACTCCTAGTGAGTGGAAAGAAAGAATTTGGCCACATTTACAATATTTTAGAAATAATAATCTTTTACCAGACTCTGGTAAAAAATATTTAAAAGGTATAAAAATAATATATTCTTGGGATAATTCGTCAGATTTAATTGAAAATGGAATCGCTATTTGCTTATCTTGTGACCAGTTAGTATATATTGGAAAAAAATATAAATACTGGTAATTATTATCATAGTGGTATAGAGAAGCATTGGCGTAATAGCTGTTCGGGAAATAAATTTTGTGGTTTAGATTATAGTATGTATTTAGAAATTATTCAAAAATCCAAATCCACACGTTCTATTAATGAAAAACATGCATTGTATTGCTATAGACTATGGCAGTATAATGCTATTAGAAAAATATGATATGCAAAAAAAATTGGTAATAAAATCTGGGCATATATTATTATACAACGAAAGACTTTAGAATGGCTGTATCATCCTTCAAGATCATTAGTTAAAAAATTAGAATTATATTATAAATATATACAAGATGTTCGAGAAAAATTACGAAAAATTAATAATTTATAAAAGCCAGGAACACCAACTTGAAGCATTCCATGAGCATCTTTTAAATTATAAATTTCAAAGATGAGGAATACTAACTTGAAATATTCCACGAACATCTTTCATATTATAAAATTTTTAACTCGTAAGCACCCACTGAGGTGGTAATTCTGTATCAGAAGGAATAACTTGGAGCTCCTCTCTGACAAAAGACCACTTCGGGCCATTGCCTTCATCATCTTCTAGCCAATATAAGATTGGCTAATTTTTTTGTACTAATGCTTCCTGGATATAATAAATCTGAGGACTCCAATTATAGTCAGTCGCTCTTTTAGGACCTATTTCTAACTCCCCAGATTCAAGTAAATATCTAACCAAAGTATTATAATCTAATTTAGACTCATTAAATCCTATAGGCCCATTGCGTAATTTAGAAGATATCGAAATAATCTGTTTCATATTTATAGCTTTTGCCGAGGCCATGTCAATTAATCTAGTTACCGAATTATTAAGGTTATCAATAATTATATAAAGATTTTTAACCCAAGCTCTTGATCTCTTAGATATAGGTAACAATAAGTTAGAAGCATCCTGCAAATGAAACAATTTTTCAGCTAAAGTGCGATTAAATCTTTCAACAATACCTTGGCTTCTATGAGACGTGCCAACCTTAATTTTAACATTATATTTTTTCATTAATTCTTTACAATCAGATTTAAATTCAGAACCGGGATCGACCATTAATAATTTTGGCCAAATAAGAGGACACTTGGAATTATTATAAACTTTTTTAAAGGCCTTGGCCACAGAATAAGCTGACCGATCAGATAAAGGAACCGCCCACTTAAATCTTGAAGCTACATCTACTATACATAAGCAATATTTATAAGTTATATTATTAATTCGGTCATGGGGCATATAAAGAATATCAGCTTGGTGATATTCATTAGGAATCTGTATACTATTAAAAGAGGCTCTAGGAATAAACCTTGGTTAGGGTTTATGAATTTGATATAAAGCTTGTTTTTCAAGCCAATTATATACCTCATCGATAGCAAAATCATACCCAGCTTTTAGAGATGCATTATATAATTTTTTCACGGTTCTTTGATAGCCATTAGGCTGATAATAAATCTTACGCAAAGCAATAGATATATCTAGTTTACGAACATTTCCAGAATCTATTTGTATTATAGGAATAGACAACATTTCAAGTTTTTTTCACAAGCTCAAAAAACAATATATAGTAATCAATATAGAGTTCACTTACTTTCTGGCTTCGAGTGATTTATCACGAGAAGGCGGTATGGGGGAAAGAATCGAGCAATTTAAAAGTGCTTTATTAGCAATACAAGATCGAGTCTACAAATTACAACAGGATCTTGTCTCAAAAGAGGATTATATTAATTACCTTGAAAAAGAAATTATAATTCGTGATAAGGACCTAGACCCATTGCGATTAGAAATTTTGAATCTTAAAAAACGGTTAGAAAAGACGATCCAAGATTCTATAAATCAAGAGAATTATATAGATTATTTAGAAAAATGGTTAGCAATTTTCCAGGATGAAATAGACAAGCTTAATGAAAAAATTCTTGTTTTGTATAATAATATAGATATGGCGCAACCGCCAGGATCACCCAGATTATCTCTACCAGAAAATCAAGCCACGATCCAAAATAATAGGATTCAGCGAGAGATTAATAATATTAGACAGTATTTTCAGAGCCCAATTACAATAGCACTTACAATAAATGGCATTGTAGATTATCTTAATATAATTTCTGATGCCGGAAATAGGTTTGAAAAATTGGTGCTACAAATATATCCACAAGCAAATGCTCGAGCAATCAATGCCGAAAATCAAGTAGCGAATTTGCAGACCAAGCTAATAACTTTGCAAACCCAGTTAGCTGATTCTCAGACCCAGTTAGCTACGCTTCAAAATGACTATGATCTTCTTTATCAAGCCTATGAGGCCCACAGAACACAGCATAATATATTTAAATCTAGAGAACTAGATGGCCGAATTACAATCCGCACCCAAAAAAACCAGATATCAGAATTGCTTCTAGAAAGCTTTGCATTAAGATTCAAAAATAGAAAAGTCTATCAACAACTACAAGATTGCAAGACAGATGGGGCAATTACTACGCATCTCTTAAATCTTACAACAAACTGATATAACAAATGGAAAAATAGATGCAGGACTATACAAAATAAGTGGGGTAAATGGAAAACCCGGACCCGAAATTCTGAGCAATTAATTAATAATTTAAATCAACAAATTTTTATGCTACAGAATAACCCACCAAATATTCAACGAATAGGAATGGCAGAATACCCACCTCCAAATTTTAATGGCTATCCCGATGAGAATCCTGAAGAATTTATTGATTCTTTTCGCTCATATCTTGTAGCTGTAGGAATTAATGTATTAGCCGGACACGCTCACAGAGTTCGAGCACATGGTCTTTTTGAAACATGTCTCAAAGGTGATGCTAAAGATTGGTATGAAAGATCTCTTCGAAGAAAGAATTGGGAATTGAGAAATTTATTAGATAATACTGGACAAGCTACTTTAGCTCTGGCTCAAGGACGAACAGCAGTACAACTTGGTGCAAATTTAAGACATGGTGCTGTGGGCCAGGCTGGAAATATTGTTATTCCTGCTCATACAGTATTTGATGAAGACTGGTCTTTTGCTGATGGGCACCCAACAGATCGATTACCCAATGCGCCAAATGCTAATGCTGGACAAACTATAGTAGCAAATAGAATCTGACTTGGCCAGGCAATATACTGGCTTAAAACTAACTATCCCACAGTCACTGCAGAAAAACAGTGAATGCTCTTTGGTTCAACGGTCCAAGGCAGTGATTCTGTGGGTCGATTCTATTCTAAGTTACGTAAACTTGCTAGGCTTGCTGAGATAGATGAACAACAAATTCGATTACAATTTATCCGTGGAATTTCTCCTGATAATCAATTAGAAATTCAATGTATTGGAATCAACAGGCCCGTATCAGAATTGCTCACAGAACTCGAAAAAATTGAAAGATATAAGACAGAGCAATTATCCGGAGCTTATTTATATTTGAGTCCAGCATCATCAGATAAAACTTATAGAAAAGACAATTATTCAAGCAATATAGGTATGACCAAAACTGAAATTGAAAACCTGATTAAATCTATGATGCCATCTCAACCGATTTTTTCTCAACTATCCCAGTCCTATAGGCCACAACCTCCAGGAACCTCTCAAATTATATGTGATGAAAATATTAATAAATTTATTCAATGGATTTGTGGGGAGGTCCCGGAATTTGTTCCCGTCCCCAAGCCTGATTTACCCCAAAACCGGTAATAAAGAAAGTTAAAGATAATGATCCCGTAGAAGATATGCGCAGACAATTAGAAGACCTTCATATCAATCAGACTAGAATCACTAAGGTTTTAAAAAAGATTTCTAGCAAGCCCAAATCTTCTCGTCGCAAAACCAAATCAAAATCTAGGACCAAAAAAAAGAAATCATCCAAACGTGTTAATACCCATATAATTTCAGATGAATCATCTTCAGACTCTAGCGATAGCGAAAATAGCATGATATCTAGTGAAAATGAACTTGAAACAAATACCTTGGCACGTTCATGGAGTGAATCCGATTCCTCTGGGACTAGTGAGTCTAGTAATTCAGAAAGCGATTCAGAAGAATACGAAGTCAATGCTATAAAAAAAAAAATAACTTCTTCACTTTCTCGCAAGCTCGAAAAAAGACATCAGAAAATAAATTGCAAGCTCGAAAAAAAAATATTATCCCCCCGCAGATCAAAAATCAAGGAGAATACTAGATTACTTAAAATTCCTACAGATAATATTAGCCTAAATATATTTTTTGCTATTTTATAATCAATAGTTGATTCATTTACCCGTACATAGCCTAAAGAGGTTTCTATTAATGGTTATAATATGATTAATGCTGAATTCATTGCATTAAAAGATCCTGTTCTAAATCATTTTACTTCAAATTTCTCAGACAAGGAACGAGAAAAGTTCTGGCACGAAATTACTATGATATTCTCTCATATCTTGCAACCAATATCAGATCTAATTCGAATAGCTTCCTAGCAAACAAATATACCCCCCAAACAGCCCCAGAGGGGTCACAAGCAGAGACAGAAATTTCATGGCCCAACCCTATAGAAATTAATTTTATTCGTAAAATTATTCCTAATGATGTCGCTACTATATGTTGCAAGATTAGCTCGCCATTAGGAAAAATCGTACAAGTGCCTTCCGCCATGATAGATAGTGGGGCAAATTGCTCAGTTATCTCAAAAGAACTTATAAAACTATTAGGAGCAGAAGTAGATAAAAATAAAAAACCATCTGTTAAATGGCGTAATAATTCCTTAGAGTCTTCAGGCATAACTTATAATATTTCGGTTATAGTTGGTCTGGGAGAAAATAGTTGTACAATCTCTGAAGACTTCCCGGTCATGGATGATGATAAACCCTGGATATTATTAGACACACCTTGGCTTGATCGTGCTGGATGGGAACCTATTATAAAGCGTGAATTCAAGTTAATGCATAAAGATAAGTTAATTACTATACCTCTTTCAGTACATAAGTCCCCCTTTCACAAACAAGTTGCAAAAGAAAATTTGGTTAACACAACAATTCTGCCTTCAAGTGATTTATCACGAGAAGACGGGGGAAAAAAAAAACCTATGAGTCTTTTTTCTCGCAAGCTCGAAAAAAGTAATTTAGAAAGCAATTTAGAGTTAACTTATTTTCTGGCTTTGAGCGATGAAATCGCAAAAAGACAGGAGCTTGAAAAAATGTTATTTATTACTCTCAATACTAAAGAAATTCTTTCCAATAAATGTGAGAAGATTTTATCATTCTATGAAGAGTTGGATCAACTACTCACCTAGTATAGATTTAAGTTTAGCTATATTTTTTTTATCTTGAATAGCTTCTTTTTCATAATATGCAATTAAATCTTCTTGGCTAATATTCAAGTCTTCTTGTAATAAATCACTCGAGGATGGAATTGATTTGTCATCTAATTTTTTTTCTGAATTTTTAGAATCTATTGGTGGATAGACCCCTCTCCAAATTTGATATACTCGCCTTGTAGAAATTTTGTATTTATTAGCCATAGCTTCCGGTGCCCGCTTCATTGAATTTTTGGCTTTAATAATATCCTGAATATTTTCTGTAGATAGGGGGGTGGCATCTGAACGTAAATATCGAAGCATTTTTATAGAAAACAAAAAAAATTTATCGAAAAATTATCGCTATATTATCGATATATTATTGATAAATTATCGATATATATTATCGATAAATTTTCGGTATATTATTGATATATTATCGAAAAATTATCGGTATATTATCGATATATTATTGATAAATTATCGATATATATTATCGATAAATTTTCAGTATATTATTGATATATTATCGAAAAATTATCGATATATTTTCGATATATTTTCGAAAAAAAAATAGTTATCTTTTTTTTAATGTATACGAGAAAATGTGAGCTTAAAGAAAAACTATATTTTGCTCTTAGATCTAAGGCTGAAATTAATGATCTTAGCGAGAAGTTGCTAACTAAGTATTTAGAGCAAGAGAAAGAGCTTCAGCGTTTTCTCACAATTTCATCGCTCGAAGACAAATATATCAGTAAACCGAATATGAGAAAAAAGCGTGTAAGGCTTTGTAAGGAGGCAGATGGTATTTATTATTTTCGAATGAAATAAGAAAAAAAAAAAGGGTTCCAAATCTTTGCCAGATCTCATTGGTTTAGCTGTGACATTAATGTCACAGCTATGTTGTACGAGGCACAGTATATGGCACAGTATTATTATATTAGAAAAAAAAATATATTAATTATATAACTCGATGACTTGTCTACTTATCTAACTTATGCGGATGAGTTAGGTATGTGAGATACACATTCGTTTTGATATTTTTCTGGGAGCTTGGCTATGATAGCTCTTTTTTCAGCCTCTTCATAGGGCATACCAGCCTTGACCATATTCTTATAAGCTTTATTACGCCAATGGAAATATGGCAAAGAAGTAATTCCATCTGATAATATTCAGCGCTTCGTATCTATGGGGCATAGAGCTTTCTTTTCTGATTCGACCAAAGATAATATATGATCCTTTGACCGGATACCTATATTCTTGGCATAGAATACTTTTTTTCCAAATAGACAGTCCCGATATACTTGAGACATTGGAGATTTACTTTCTGGATATTCTTTCTTAGCCATTTCACTCATACCTTTCTTGCTAACCCCCTTATGCTTAGACTTTGTGGACTTATCTGCTAAAACATAGTGGTATAACTTGGCCCGGATATGATAAGATTCTGTAATTACATTGCCTGGAGTCTCATCTTTGAAAAGGCCTATAGTCTTAGAGTCATTGAGATCGAAAAGGTCTGGTCGCTCAGCCATGTTCTTATAGATATCTTCCCTCTCAACTTGGAATATGAATGAGTCTGTACCCATATATCCGAGCTGAGCTTTATTACCATATCTTTCTTTTACATATCCATACCAGAAGCGGTACATCAAAAGTTTGCTAAGACCCAAAACTGATGCTCCGACAATAATAGGCTTGTTGAGAGTCACAGTGGCCTTTCCCATATGTGATCCTATAAGTGTACTTCCCAGCTGTCTGGCATATTTAAAAGAGGGTTTGCGGATTTGCTTAATAAATTTCTTTTCGTCTTGCTTATTATTCATAGCCATGAGCTTGATGTCTTGATATTTGCGAACATTCTCCATAGTTTTGCCGTAGACAGAATTATTCATAAGTTTAAAGAAGTCTTTCTCAAAAGCATTTTTAGCACCTTGTCGCTTTTCTGTATTAAAGGCAATATATGGGGCAAGCCAGTTAGTTTGGTCGAATGATAGGATTTCTGTAACCTCATCAACTATCATACCCAATTTTACGTAATATTGGAGTTCTTGGTAATGGATAACATAATCTTTTCGTGGACCAAGGTGTGGAACTAATTTTTTTGTTACTAAAAATCGTCCTCCATCCAAGTTATCTACAAGCTCTGTTGTATAGGGGCACAACATATCTTTACTTACGGCCATATTCTCTACGGCTGGGGGTAGATCACTCAAATAGTCATGAGTTTTTAGAGGAAAGTGCGCCTTAATATTTAGATAATATCCTTGTGGAGAATTTGCTTCGGTATTAAGAATTTTTTTAAGATATTTTTTTTGCTCATTTGGATTATCTGCAAGATATTTACGGCTTACCTCCCATTGATAATTTTCTATAGGCAAATACTGACTCATGGCCCAGCCGTAAAGATTGTTTGCGTCAACATATAATATCCAAGTCGTAGGTCTGGTTGAATCATATGATTCCCCCATTTTGGAGTTATTGGCTTTTAAATATTATTGACAGGCCATGGCTATACCTCCACGCTTAGCCTTTTCTATGAAATCATGCATTGCCATGTCTGTAAAGAGCCCAATCTTGACTCCTGTCATTTTAAGCATAGCATCCCATGCTAAAGCCGGTGGAGAGACATAATGACTAGGATCAAGTTCATAATATTGCATACATGACTTTCAGAATTGGGTCCAGATATCTGCCAAGCTAAGTACATCAGTCTTAAGATAGAGGTCATGATATTCTCCCAAGTTTTTGCAACCAAATTCATGCCAAACCTTCTGTGCATGATTATAGTCTTTTTGGTTAATTTTTCCATAAAGATATGTACTAAATTCATGAATTGGCGGAAGCTTAGTCTCTAGAAATCTATCTTGTGAATCGATATATTCATAGGGATAAACCCCTTTGCGACAAACTAGAGCTATCTGTTCTGGGGAATAGTCTTTAAAGTGCTGGCTTGTAATAGGGTGGTTGGTACCCAAATTTTCGTAAGATTAGCCAAGCTATTATTCATAAATTGCATGCTATCTATATATTTAAGTTGACCTACCTTCATAGATTTATAACGCTCAAATGTTTCGGCTATGACTCTGATTTGGTGGGCATTAACTAATTGCCCGATAGACTCACAAACTAAATGAGAGTCATAGCCCCGAAAGTTATGAAAGACAACTGGGATTGGTGTCTTCCATGCCTCAATTTGGAGTTTGAGATTACAAGTATTGTGGGCAGGTCCCCGAAACTTACCTGTAATATGACAGTGGTCCCAGACCTTGTCGTCTATGGCAAGTTTTTCTTTACATATCCAACAGGTATCAGCTTCGGTATATATTTTTTTGTCTTCATCAGTTTCAATTTGGTCTGCTTTAATAGCTAAGACCCTATTAATTTCGACCAACTCTTTATCAATTCTTCGAACAAATTCTTGTGTAGCATTTTCTCCCCGATATAGAAAAGGCCCCATACATCCCCAGTATCGATCCAGTGAACTAGATAGCAAAAGCTATTGGCTTTTTGCTCGGCAAGTTTTCGCATTTGCCCTCCATATGCTTCATTACATTTTTTGTTGTCTGCTTCGAAGTCTGCTATAATTACACATGAGGCATTGATCATTCGTCCATAGTTCTTGAACTTCTCAAAGTCAGTGACCTTCTTGGTAGGTAAAGTGACTCTTTGAGTAGCCTCCCCCAAACCGAAACAG